TTTACAGTTAGTGCTTGCGTCACGGATGAAAAAGTCTGATGCACTGGATGCGAATTTCACCCTTGAAGGGATTCATCACAGAGGAAGAAAGGAAGTAAGAACGTCCAACCAGGTATGATGATTCACAAAAATCAACCAATATTTTCCGAGAACACTTTATATACAAACCCAATGGGGAGCATCATCCGTAAGTCTCACTGAATTATTTATGAAACAAACAACATAATTTACATAAGCACTAAAACAAGTAAAAAGGGCAATAACTCGGATGTCTACCATTTTCAAGTTAAAACTATTTTACTTGTTTTTCCTCCAGTACGAATGCATTTATTTTACAGCTTTTTCTATACGTTTGTGGTTGTTATAACCTATGAACAACTCAGTGTTGGTTAGCACTATGATGAATGCAGACTGTTATTGCACAGTGAGAAATGCCAGTCATACGGACAGGGTTTTGACCGTCCTCCATCACCGTCTTGCTCCCATTAACCCTTTGTACATCTGAGCAGCTGCTCCCCTCATTCAGGCTACACTACAGCATCCTCTGCTCGTCCTGCCACTGCTGCGGCCCGGCGGGACGTCTAATTGGAGCAGATTGAGCTACTGTCCTGTAACATATGGCTCACAGCCCTGACAGCGCAAAAACAAAGGAGGGAGACCCATGCAGGTCATGGCCCCATCACAGATTCACCAGCTGGGTTACACACACGCACACACACACACACACAGCCACACACAGCCTCTAAACTCCATCCTTTAGCTGGAGGTTTAATCTAAAACATGAGGTCACCATGGGGCTCTGAACCTTTCTGCAGACCTGTCATTTATGAAACACAATGAACCAGTTTCAGACTCAAGATTTGTGTTATTTGAGATCTCATTTTCACAACATATTTGTTGTTTTCTGCTGATTGCTAACACATTCTCACTAATGTAAGAAATTCAAAGGTAAGACGTGAACATCTGGTTGCCTGGTCGATATGTCCCAAATTAAATCAAAAATTAATTTTTTTCAGTTGGAAATTGAGAGATGAGATATCAAACAGAGACAAACAAAACAACACTTCTTAGTAAGAATCCAATTCTAAATCAAATCCAGATATGTGAAACCAGAAAGGGAACTTTTGGTCTTTCAAAATATGACCTCTTTTTTGCAAGATAGTTAAATTGTGGTTATGCTTACTGTCTATGATAAGCTAAAAGTCTGTACACTAAAACTCAAGAGCTAAATAGATAACAGCTTCGGATATTATGAGAAAAATGTGGGCAAAATGCAACTGATCATGACAGCAGCACTGTGACAACCAGTCAAATTACACCATGCGATGAATACTGTTGGTGGTGAGGGTCTTTTTGGTGTGTAAATGTTTAAAAAGTAACTTAAAACTAGCTAACTAGTTTTTTTCCTGATCTCACCCAGGAAGTGTTCCACAAATGTCAACTTTTTTTTAGTATGATGAATTATCAAATAAATCCCTGGGGCGTGAACTGCAGCTGAGCTCTGTTTCTCACAGTGAAAAACATTGAATATCACACAGTGTCTACTCTCATTGCATCTGTGTGGTGAAATCACTCATAATGTAAATGCAGTTGCTTCATAAAATACTGCTTGCTTATAGATTTCTCTCTATTTTGCTTCCAGCTTGGGAGGAGGTATTCGTGTCAGGTTTTTGTCATAAATTCATCTTTCATCCAGAGATTTGTCTACCTGGGAGTGTGAGGTGAGAAAGAGGTGTAGTTAGAAATAGGTATAAGCTGTCAAGTCCTGCGATTCAGTTTCTTCTGAAGGGAAAAAGGCTTGGAAATGGAGGAGGAGTAATGGCAAACTCCACTTATCAAAAACCTTTGGCAGGCCCCTCATGTCTTGGCCGCGGGGACTTCTCAGCAGATGTCGGCAGCCTATATTCAGCATGGCTGTAACAATTACTCTGCCCCTGCTTTGGTACAATTTGCAATCAAATCAAGAGAAAATACACTCATCCGTTACCCAACACAGCAAGTATAATTACAAAAATCAATGCTCATTCATTGAGTTAACCCCAAATGTAGTGGCCCGATTCCCTTGATTCAGCTTGATTATATTTCAAAACAGACACAGTGGGTACATTTCCTTTGGCTTTCCATGTTTAGAAAAATGTGTGACTTTTTGAAGCAGACAATAACGAGGATGCACTTCACAGTGATTGGTCATGGTTGTGAGAGTAACCACAAAAGTTATTTTTTCTCTTTTACATTGGTTCACCAGTGTGAACCAATGTAAAAGAGAAAAAATAACTTTTTATTCAGACTGGCTGGCTGACTGAAATGAAGTTTTAGGTGACAATAAAACACATTTGAATGGTTTTCTGAAAATACAACCACAACATAACATTCTAACAAGCCTTTTGCTAATTCGTTTTTATTATCAGCCTGTTATATTAACTGACTCAGGATGACAGGACATTTGTCACGCAAACTTTTGCTTTATGACCCAGCCTATAACTCAGCTTGGTATCAGATTGCTCCACAATGCTGCATTTATGGGGTTTTGATAGTGTTGAGATAACACAAACCACTGACCTTCCTATTGTAAAGCGCTCATTTAAGTCCTGCACCACCATCTTCATTACTGTTTCGCGGTGTGCCTTAAAAGCCTATGTTTTAATGTACTTCAAATTAAAATAGTCAATACGTCAAACTTGTTAGTCCTTGAATAACTATAAGGGTAAGAGGACCGTGAGTTGAGATTGTTTTGTTCACGCTTCACTTGATTTTTTTTCAAAGTTTGCAAACTTGAGAGATGTTTTAGCCAAATGTTTCCCATGTCTGACGGCCATCTATGTTTCAAAAAGCAGGGGTGAATGGAGGTACTGAGCAGAGGAGAGAGGAAGGGCATTTTATGTTCACTCATCCAGATGAAAGGAAGACTAAAGAAAGCAAGTCAAAAGGAGAGTTAATGATTTATGCTGTCATTCGTGTGACCGCACCGAGACAGCCTTTGCCTGACGATGCATTCTGTGCGACTTGATCACTCCATCCGCTCATTTCATCTGGATGAGCGGACTTATAATGCTTCCTTGCCCTTTGCTGTTTGCCACCTACCTCCCTACCCTTTTTTTTTTAATGAAGAAAAAGCAAAGGACAGCTGGGAGGGTTGACGCTGAGTGACAATACCGCCACGGTTGAGAGAACGCAATGAGTCGGTCACATTTTTTGAATAATAGTCCCGCTGTGCCACCGATAACTTCATTTGCTCCAGAGTGAACACAGACGCAGAAAAAAAAGCATTGGAATTCACAATGATTCATAATATAACAAGGACACAGAGAGTACAGCAAAGGGGAGTGAGGAGGAGGCGAGTGAATAATGATGTCAGCAGAGAGGACAGTTATTGTGAGTGAACGTATGGGAGTGAATGTGTGAAGGTTACTCTCTAAAGCCAAAACAACAGATCCCCGTGTTGTGTTTCCCAGGGCTGTCAAAGAATAACAAATATTTCTAATATAACCTCGTCTATTTTTGATTGGCAGAGCTGATTGAATTCCATTTCGAGCCGCTGTCATCCTGTCCTCATTTTAAACTCGCAGATCTTCCTCAGCGGGTAATCAAGCTCTTTCAAAACTGTTTGATGAAAGTAATTTGGCCCGATCATTCAGGATAACGCTGCGTAAAGCAATCTATTAGCCCACACAGCTCCAAGCAAAAGACAAACTGAATGATGTTCCCACTGAAAAGGGCCAAACACAGCCTGACAAAATACCACAGATTGTAATTCAAGTTAATAAGCCATTCTGGTATAGACTATAGCAACATTTCATTCAAATCTAAATATTAAAAAGCCCTACAAACAATTTGGATGATTATGACCCAAACTTCTGCATTGAAACCAATACAAAAAATATATATAACATCTCAGCAATTGGGCTAAAACGTATACATATTTATGAATCTGCCATCCATATTTTTCGATGTTGCTTTTTAGAGCAAATGATCAAATCTTTGTAAAAGAAAATGTCAGGCCAAAAGCCACACATCATTTTGATTAAATTATATACTTTAACAGCAAGATGATTGCAGCAAATCCTCACGTTTGAAAAGCTGGAACCAGGCAATGTTGGGCATTTTAAATTCAAGAGCTGAAGTGATTTATAAATGATTATGCTGAGGATTAGTTTTGTACCATATCAGCATTACAAAACAATGTTTCAGTCACTCAGGGTAGTTCACATATCTTGCTGCCAACACACTTTGTTATTCTGTCGACATTTTGGGATGTCAGCATGTAGTGCAATTAGTTGAATCACGAAGGTGTAGCAAGCAATTAAGGGCTGCACTTCACTCACACCTAGAGCAGTGGATCCCAAGCTGCAGTTGCCATGGGGCATGTGTGAAAAGCTCAACAAATGTACTCCTTCCTCAACTAAAATTGTTGTGGTTGGGAAGGAAAATAAACAGGAATAAAGCTGTTGGGATGCTGCCAGTAGTAACACTTCAACATTGAGAAGATATATTAAAGGGGTCCTTTTCTGCAGATGTTCAGGCTCATTTGTGTATTTTGTGCCTCTACTGGGAAATGTCTCCATGCTTTAATGTTCAAAAAGGTGTTTATTTTTCTCATACGGCCTGTGCTGCAGCACCTCTTTTCACCCTCTGTCTGAAACCACAGCCCAGTCTGCTCTGATTGGTTAGATTAGCGGTTGTGATTAGTCAACCGCTAAGAGATGTCCTGCCCCGCTCACGTACAATGTGTTGGAGTACTAGCCAAGAGAAGCGTGTGTGTTACACACTGATGTCACTATGTTACAGAAGTAAACAATGGAGTCCAACCGAGTGTGTGGGAAAGAAACTCCCTCTCTTCTGTACTAAATTGCTTTAAACTCTTTTGCGTTAAGTGATAAATACCAAATATCTTCTAGATATGAACATAACTTGAAGAAGGGTCTATTTCATTCTGTCATGCTGGGACCAAATGGATGTTATACATTTGTACAAACATAGAAACTGCCTGCAAAGTTCCTCACCTGGAGATCTGAAGGTCCAGGCCTCGTCATCGTCAAAGTGCGTATCCCCAGCTGTGAACCTCTCCCCGGGGAAGAATGCGTGTGCCACGGTGCCCCCTGGCCCGTCAAAGGGGTATCCATCGTTGTGGTCGGCCTTAGTGAAGTCTATCTGAATGTCCGCATCGCTGCCGGCCACCTCGTGGAAGTTTAGCGGCGCGATGTCACTCCAGACCTTCAGGGCGTAGTACATCAGGGCTCGAACCGTGTCCCTGCCCAGCAAGGCAGAGTCCTTAGGGAAGGTCCTCACTCTGAGACGAGAAGGGGACACGGGGAATATGTCACATAAGAGAAGAAGAAACAAGAAGGGGTGAGGAGGAGGACAGGAAGGACATGGGGGTATTGGTGGCTGATGAAGGAAGAGGATGGGAGACTTGACAGAAGAGCAAAGTAAAAGTGGAGACAAGAGAGAAGAGTTGGGCAAAGTGAGGGTAATAAAAAATGGTGATTGGCAGGAAACATGAGGAGGAAAGGAAAATGAAAGGAGGAAAGGGTAAGAGAGGTAATACCTGTGGGAGAAGACTAGAGAAGTGCCAAATGTAAGGGTGACACATCAGAGATGAACATGAAGATGGGGAAGGGACACGAAAGTGTGGGAGGGAGAGGGAGATGAGCACAGGAAACAGAAATGATGAAAAAGGAAGCAGCTAAAGGAGAAAGGCGCGATGGAGATAGCTCAGAATTGTAGAAAAGCACAAAAGCATAAAAGGTCAACTACGCAATGTTTGCAACTGGGAGAGACCTCCATGAAAGTAAAAAAATCAGTTTGCATATCTTATGTGGTTCCATTGGTTTTTGTATTTCATGGTTAGGTGCTCCGCTGCTCACACCTACTGATAATACAGTTGAGAATACAACGTGCATTGGAATAGAGTATGGCATCAGATTTTCCTTTCCCCTCCTTATTTCATTGTCTTGCTTCCTCTCATCACACTTAACATCTCTCTTAGCTGTGTCTTTCCATCAGCGACAGAATTAACAGAAAACCACTCAGAAACCTTCTAAGTTTGTCCTACACTCCTCCATTCTCTCATTCCCTTTCTCTTCATCCTTCGCCTCTTCTTTCTCCTCTGCTTCTACACGGCGCATTCGCCTTCGCTCTCCCCACAAAAGCACTTTGTCTAAATACAAGAGGTGATTTGGCCGTTGCAGGCTGCTCTAGGACATTTAATCAAGGCTCCTGGCCGTGAGAGTGCCGCCACTTCTTCACGTCTACAACCCTGCTGGAAATTGGCTAAAAACGAACAAAGTGGTGTATGGAGCTTTAGGTTTAATTTAAGCAGGGTCAAAACATGTAAACATTTTCATTCCTGATTGCTGCAATACATAAAAAACACACAACGTTTTTAAAGTACAGGAAATCGCCCAGTTAAAAATGACTTCCTTGAACTGAATTCCTGTTTGGTGTTCTTACTAACATACTGAAGGTGTTCAAGGTTATTCTGGCAGAACATCATGCTCGGGTGCATTCCATGTCTGGGTTTTATTCACCTTCTTGACCTGTTTTTAAAAAGGCGCGTCTTGCATCAAATGAGGCAAGACACAAAAAACGAGCACAAACACAAATATCGATTCACATATTGATTGTCATGGACAGACCTGAAAAATAGTTTAATACTACAAGTTGATATGTCCAACACATATTGACTGAATTCCACAAGCATGAACAGAAGTTATTTGTCTCAGAGTCTGAAAGAACAACATACTGGAGGGCTGAAATAAAATGGCAACAGATTGGTGCAAGAGAGCCCTACAGGAACACCAATTCTTGCATGTAGCTCCACCAAAACCGAAATGGCCATCTGTCAACACAGATGTGTTTTTCCATTTTTGCATTCCATTTGCATGGAAGAGGCAATCAAATTGCAAATTCAGGTGAAATGGTAAATGGAGAGATGTTCAGAAAGCAACAAGGACTATGAACTCTGCCGGGAGATTTGAAGGTGAGTGCACTCCAGCTGAGCTGTGACTTCTCCAGTGTCTGTGGATAAACTCATGGGATACCGCACTGATTTTCTGTTTGGTTGGTGGTTTAATCCATTCTTACATAAAAAAGAAGATCCATCACAAATGTGTTAGCTTGATTTAAAAAAGGTAGAAACCATTTTAATAACCTTTAGTCTGATATCAGAATATTTCTTCAGAAATCAGAATAACACACTTTATGATTGCATATCTAAACTCTCGACAGAACGGTCTCACTTGGTCCAAATGCGGTTCTCAAATAGAGGAGGCAGATAGCCAGTGCTGAAATAAAATGTGGCTAAAGTTAAATGAATCTGGTTCATTGAGAACAATGACAGAAAGGAGTGCTCTGATGCATGCAAGGCTATTAAGATTCATTGAATATAAGTCCGCTGGATCCATGATGGAAAAAGGTTTGGGAGAATGAGTCTTAAAGTTATAATCCTTAAGATTTTCATTAAGTTGAGGGATTCACAGGCAATATTGCATGTCTTAAATATAAATGAACAAGAAAGAGAAGCCAAAGAACAGGCTGCAATCCACAAGCACCTGAGCAAGGCAACCAGCACCCTTCACTGGGCATTGCTGTATGCAGCATTAAATGAGGTCAGAGGGAGATTATGACCCCCCCCCCCCCCCCGGCCTGAAACTGCTCGATTGGAGTCCTTTGTTTACTTCCGTAACATAGGGACATCAGTATGTTACACTTGCGCTTCTATTGGCTAGCGGTCCAACACATTTTACATGACATGCTTATGGGTTGGACATCTCTAAGCTAACCAATCACAACAGAACCAACCAGCTAACCAATCAGAGCAGACTGGTTTTAAACAGAGGGTGAAAAGAGATGCTGCAGGTCAGGTAGTATGAGAAAAATAATGACCTTTTTGGATATTAAAGCATGTAAAGATGTTACAGTAGAGACACAAAATACAAATATGAACCTTAACATTTGCATAATAGGGCCCCTTTAAACTCACAAGTATTATAGTAGGAATCCTGGCTTACAGTACCTCTCTCTTTTGCAGTTTATATGCAAAAATCCTGTTATGTTTGATTAGTTGAGACAGGCAGCACCAGCAATTGTCAAACACTACTCCAATCTCGGTAAACATTTGGGTCACAAATAGTTTCAGAGATCAAAGTTCTGTCACTGCAAACAATCTTGTTTCATAAAAAGCTCTCTGTCATTCCCGTTCCTTCCTTTAGCTGGCAACTTGAAAGCTGAGCTCCTGTCAAACAAACCATTTGTTTGACACTTGTTTCAATTCCGACACAAATCCTTCATGATTAGGGCCTTTTTTTCCTGAGGACTGGTGACTCATTTGTCTGATGGGAGCTTCTCTCCCACACCATTCTTTGCTCCTTTACCAGCCGAGGATCTCTGGTCATGTGGCAGGTCCACCCGCAATTCATAATGATGCTTTCAAACGTTCATTTATCTTCCTTGGTTCTTTATCTTTCATGATTAATGCTGCCCTTTCTCTCTGGTTTTAAGACCATTTACACTGTTAGAAAAATATTCGAAAAATATTTATAAAATGTAACCGTCATTTTAAAATGGATACTTTGCTGCTCATTGTTAGCATTATGTCTGCAAGGCATTTCAAGAGATTCCCCAGTGTGATCAAGACTTAATTTGTTAATGACCAAACCTAAACCATCACAGGGGTTTAAAAGAAAAAAGGTTTCCACAGTTCACCCACTAATAAGCTGTATTCTAAGTAAGACTGAGTGGCAATGTGTGTCAGAGAAAAACAGTTGTAGCTACATTTGTGTGTTTTTTTTATGTTTGTGTTTGTACCATTGCTAGTCTCCCTTTTAATGATTTCACCAGGTGACACACGGTTATGTTTCCGAAGAACACACTGTCCAAACTGCAGAGAAACAAAAGGACATGAGGAACAGGATGATGTAGGTAGGAAGGAGATAATGAGGAAGCAAAAGGTGGGAGAGGTAGAAAATGAGGGAGTGAAAAGCAGACATTCTCCTACGGCAGAAATATTCCTGACAACTCCCCATGGTTTCTTCTTCTACAGTTCTAACTTTAGTCAGAATCTTAATTCGTGAGAATGACACGTTTTTTTTTTTAAGATTCAGCGTTTCTCCAGGCTTCTACACTCAGAGGGATCAGTGATCACACAGACACATTTCCATCTCTGACAGAGTATGTGATGTCTCCCTTTTCCTTACCAGCGGAAATGTACCTCATTACAAAAAGCTTTTTAAAAATGGCTGGTGTTACAGACTTGTAAGGCAGTAAAGGGGGGTGAGGAGGATGAGACAGAGAGTGGGTGAAGGCGATGACACCTGGGCGTAAATGCGGGAAGGCATTCAAATTCTCAGTAAAAACAAAAAAAGAGATGGCAATTGTATCAACATTCAATATTAAATACACATTATTATATTTGGGTCACCATGCACTCCTTGGTAAATGGTAGTTTAAAGGATTAATTAGTAATGCTGTATTAATGTACTGTATTATCACCCACTATACCAAAATGTACATTGCTTGAATACACCTGACAACGAAAGATAATGTTCTTTCGTTGTAAACAAAATAAATCTTGCATCAAAAGCCTTTAATGCCTTGGCTTTGATGTTTTTGGTCCAATTATTGTGTTTTTTTTTTTTTTTATCAGAGCATTACAATACACATTGTTAAACAGAAATCTAACAATTAAATAAATGTCCACAACATTATGGAGGAGGACACGGCATTTGCTTTCCAGCTCTGAGTGTAGAGGCAATCCTAGGGCATCAAACAGCTGGAAAACACTTACTGCTTCTTTCAAATGACTTATTATGGCTAGACAGTAAGTGGACACTTGCTATAACTGCAAATCTATAAAAGATGGGATGAGCTTATGTCAAATCAAATTGTGGTTAAGACATTGGTAGGGTTTGCAAACTTATCAAAGTGTAAGGAGAGATCTTGGTCTAGATTTAAAGCAAAAATTAAACATTAAATGCTAATGTACAAATATGCACAAGCTCCATCCAATCGTAAAAGCCCTTTCTTTCTTCCTCATTTAATATAAACCACATTAGTTTTTCCTGTTGATACTTATGGTTGGCATTTGATGTAAACAGTGTGAAATGGGCCAATATGGATGTTATTGTAAGGATGCAGGGCTGGAAAGTGATATTGTTGCATACCTCCATGAAACACAAAAACATGCATTGCACAATGATCAAGGCTCGCGACGCCTTACTTACTCTACAGTTGAACATGTTCATCACCATGATAGTATTTACCATGGGTTTTCAACGTGTTGCAATTCCA